AGTCCAACGCTAGAATTCTTCTCGAAGCATGGCGGCGGAGCGATGCCGGTCTTTCCGGGGTAGATGTGACGGAATCCTTCGCTGTGATCTGGGGTTCTCCAGGGGTATTCGATACACAGAGCTCAACCACTGGGCCTCGCATGGACAGCCAGTGAAACACGTTCGGAGAACTTGTGAAGCTGAGAAGATTGAGCGGGCTGCGCGGGGAATTTCTTTTTGGGAGGAAAGAAAAAGGTAACAGTCCGATAGGAATCGGCAATTCCCATCAATATTTTTTCCCTTCAGCTGTGTCTTGGTTTCGATCAGAGCTCGTCATCGTGCAGGAGATGGCTGTGTTCAGCTGTTGTACCGCGCGTTTAACACATTGATCGTTGATCTAAATGTCTGCAGACATATTTCTTTTTCCGGAAATAGCGCCATGATGAAATGGCGGACAGGCCCGAAATTCGTTGAAGAAATGGCACGCTAGCCCCTCTCGTAGCCCCTCCACTCAACGGTCCACATCATCAAGCAACCAGGTGAGCACATGGCGGGGCTGCGCCTTGAACCATTTGCAACCACACAGACGCCATGATCTCTTGTGTGTGCTTGTGTAAAATACGCAGTGTCGAATGAGATTTCCATCATTCTAGGCTCCCGCAGAGGGTATTGATGCTTCCGTCTTCGCCGTTGAACGATACCCCTTTTCGTGTCTTTGTTATCTGGTTTCCATGCGTCCGTGCCGTATAAGCTGCTGGGAGAAAAAAAAAAGGTACACATGGACATGCAGACATTAGCGCACCCTGCCCCGCAATACTCCCCAATCTATTGAACTAAAGACGCGACAGGAACCGAGCTCCTCCAGGAGTCCAGCTGCCGGTGTTGCTCCCACTTGCTTTGACACGTCAAAAGACGGTCACGGCCATCCAACAATCTTCAATTGTCGCACCGAAAGCTGAATTGCGCTGAACCTGTTCGCCGACGCGAGACCACCTTCCCGAATCCCGAGTTACACCTACGGTCTTTCATCTGAGACATCTTCAACTCTATCTAGTTGGTGCTCCCGTCTACCCCACACATCTTGCTATCTCCAATTTCTGTGTCCCTTTATGCTGATCAACTTCGTGTCATCTACAGTAATTGAGCCATCGCATAAAGCAAAGCTGGTCCAATAGAGCATGAAGAGTTCCCGCCTAATTACCATCTAGCGGGACAAGACGACGTCATTCCAGTTGAAGAACCATCAGCCTTTCGGCTCCTGGGAGGGCTTCCTTCCGCTCTGCCCGAGACGCTATGCGACGGAGTAGGACCCCGCCTCCCGCGGCCTCCCCATACCGCGCCCTCGCGCACCACCATGCGCATCATGGGGCCGCCTCTCAAGGGAGACAGCAGGGTCGCGAGTCGATATCATCTGTGATAAGGTCGTTCAACGTGGAGACCAATCCATCGCGGCCTGTGCGCCCCTCGCCGCTCACGGCCTCAACTATTCCAGACATGCCGCTCGAACTACTCGACCGAATTAGGTCGTTCCCTCTGTTCATGTCGGCTCCTGACGATTTCCTTGCGGCCATCGGCGCTCACCTCAAACTGCAAACGCATTCCGTTTATGACCACATACTAACCGAGGGAGACGAAGCAAAAGCCATGTATTGGTTGGTTCGAGGCATTGTTGCCGTGACGTCTCGCGATGGAGAGGCTGTCTACGCAGAACTCAAACCTGGCGCCTTCTTTGGGGAGATTGGTGTCCTGATGGATATGCCTAGAACCGCAACGGTCATTGCCAAAACCAAATGCATGCTTGCCGTTCTCAAGAGAGAGGATCTCCAGGCCGAATTGCCCAAGTACCCGGAAATGGAAAAAGCTATTCGTCAGGAAGCTCAAGAAAGACTCACCATCCTCAGAAAGAAACGCGGCGAGAGCAGCAGCGGTCCGATCGACAAGACACCAGCGACGAATGGATCTGCCGTTGTCCGGGAGATGGCACCGGGGCAAGTAAACAAGGGAGACACAGGAAGCATCCAAGCAGGGTCGAAGCCTGCTTCTTTAAACACCAAAAAACGAAAGTCTCCGAGCCCGAGCCTCATAGAGGATCCAAGCGTCAGCGGAAGCGCTCTTGGTAGTGGTCTAGTCAATGTTCGCAAAACCTTGAAGGAGCTTCCGCTTTTCGCAAAGCTCGACAGTGAGGTTCTTCACTTCCTTGGTCTCAGCGCACAACCAAAGTCGTACGCCCCCTTCACCGACATCGTCCAACAGGGCAGTCCGGGCAACGAGATCTTTTTTATCGTACGTGGCGAAGCCGAGGTAATCAGGGAACCACTGAGCCCGCCGACGAGAAGGACCACGAGGTCATCTTACGCACGGCCGCGATTGAGCGCTGGACAGTACTTTGGCGAAGTTGCGAGTTTGGGTCTTGCCGAGGAAAGAACTGCTACGGTGCGATCAATCACCGCTGTTGAGTGTCTTGTAATCGGCCGTGAATCTTTGGAGAAGCTGTGGAAAATACCAGAGATCAAGGCCCAAGTGGAAGAAACAGCCAGGAAACGGTATCAGGTTCAAGAGCAAGTGAAGCCTAAAGTGGAAGAAAAGCAGGAGGAAGAAGACGAAGACGTGGAAATGAGAGATCCGGAGAGCCATGCCTTGTCCGACGAAGATGACAGGTCGGTTCCAACACCAACGGTGACGTTTACAGTTCCGTCAAACCCCGGGTCCCCCACAAACGATGAGTCAAGAACGAGACAACCCTCGGATCCAGATCCATTTCTGAGTGTGGACATGGAGAATCTCCGAAATCGACGACGCAATTCATTGGCACCTCCGATGCCACAAACAGACAACTCGGCGATTGTGGGTGCCTCAAAGGCTGGACCAGGGGCACTCATGATCACTTCTCGACCGCCGAGTCCACAAGATGATTCACCTCTTCCGGCCAAACGCGCACGAACTTTGCCGAGAAACACAGTTACCAGTCGAGACGAGCAAGGGAAACCGGCGTTCTCGGACAGTTTCTGGGTTTCAGTCTTTCAAAATTTAAATATCATCGAGTTGATAAGATTAAAGTCTGTTTCACGAAAATGGCGTGAATTATTAACAACAAGTCCGGACTTGTGTACAAAGGTCGACCTCAGCCCTTTCAACAACAAGGTCACAGATTGGTCCGTGGTCAACATTTTAGCTCCATTCATTGGAAATCGCCCGACTGAGATCGACATCAGCAATTGCTTCCACATCACAGATGAGGGTTTCCAGGCAATTTACAGGACTTGCGGCAAGAACGTCAAGTCGTGGAAGATGCGTAGTGTTTGGGAGGTTTCCGCGAGCCAGATCCTCGAGATGAGCGACAACGCCAAGGGACTGGAAGAAGTTGATTGGTCTAACTGTCGGAAAGTTGGGGATAACCTCCTGGTCAGAGTGGTCGGATGGGTTGTTCCAGAGCCGCAACCTCCAAGGGAGAATAAGAATGTGGTGATTTCGAGCTCGGCTGCCAAGGGAAGGAGGGCATCTCAGTACCAACAACGGCAGCAGCAGCAGCAACAACAACAACCTAATCCAAACCAACCTCCGCCGGGGACTGTTATCGGATGTCCGAAATTGAGACGACTAAATCTGTCGTACTGCAAACATATTACTGATAGATCGATGGCGCATCTGGCTATGCACGCTTCGAAGAGGATAGAGTCGTTGTCGCTCACCAGATGTACGAGTATCACGGACGCAGGATTCCAGCAGTGGGTGCCGTACAGGTTTACGCAGCTGACGACGCTGGTATTGGCGGATTGCACTTATTTGACTGATAATGCCATTGTGTCGCTTGTTAATGCGGCCAAGAACTTGAAGCATTTGGATTTGAGTTTTTGTTGCGCCTTGTCCGACACGTCCACGGAGGTTGTGGCGTTGGGGTTGCCGGCGCTGAGGGAGTTGAAGATGGCTTTTTGCGGAAGCGCCGTGAGTGATGCCAGCTTGGGGTGTATTGCGCTGCATTTGAACGAGTTGAGGGGGTTGAGTGTTAGAGGATGTGTCAGAGTCACGGGGAATGGTGTTGAGAATGTTCTTGAAGGGTGTGGGAGGCTGGAATGGTTGGACGTTAGTCAGTGCAAGAATTTGCAGGGATGGGTTGACGGAGGGGGGGTAAAGAGATGGGGATTTGATGAGAGGGAGGTCACGGGGGAGAGGGGAAGTGTGGCTGAGTTGAGGGCTTTGGCGATGAGGAGCGCCGGGAATGGTGTTTCTCAGGCTACAAACTCTAAAGGCGGGAAGATTGGACCTGGTGGTGTTGGATATGGACATGGACAGCTGCCAGGTCCGAGAGCGTTTTATCCTCCTAGGCCTGTTGAACAGGGACCGGTGATGAGACCGGTGATTCCGCCGAGGGGGGCGCCGCCTAGTAGGAGGATGAGGAAGCCGGTGAAGTTTGTGGTTCAGAAGGGTGCTGGTGGGTTGAGATGAGATTTTGTGCTTTTCATGAGGTAATGATTTATGATGATACTGATCAAGGGATTTTTTCTTGGATATTTCTCGGTACATATTTTGTTCTTGTTTCTATTTTTTTGGATGGAGATTTCCTATTACATATCATTTTATTTTATCGTCGGTGTACATACACACGTTTTTTGTTGGACATACAGGATGTGAACATGGGGTCAATGTGAGATGGAAAAGGGGTTGCTTTCACACATTTTTTGAAGGTGTTATTTTGGAAAAAAGTTTATAAAAGTTGGGTTGGTATGGAGAGGGTACGTATTGCGATATGATACCCTGGTTTCATTTTTGTGTATCCAAGATGTATTAACAAAATAAACAATAAAAATAATGATTGGCAATATGAAATCTTTACTTTCTTTTCTTTGAGGGTGGATGACGATGGCTGTACTCTTTTTCTCTCATGCGACAGCAGCAACAATCTGTGTGACGAAGACGGGAAGTCCAACTGACTGAAGAAGTGACACCTGACAAGATACATTCCAAGAAAAACAAATTTCGGTAAAAAGCAAAGGAAAAGTGACAACTTTTAGAAACAAAAAGAGCACCCGACGTGGGACTCGAACCCACAACCTTAAGATTAAGCTTTTCTATATCTCTTGGTCCTCAAGAATTCAAGAGGCAAAGTAGAAGTCTTACGCGCTACCATTGCGCCAGCCGGGCTGGAGAACTGTTGTGTCTTGAATCATTGGGAAGGTTCAAAAAATATTTTGGTTATATATGGGCTGTGTATATATGCGGATTATATAACTACTTTTTTTCACCTGCTTTGGATGGTCATGGACGGGGGTAATTGGGTTGTAATATTTACTCGCACGCATGAAGTACTGTCACAAAAGGTACGAATACCAACCGACTTAAAGCAAACGTGAGGAGGTATATGTCACGACCCTAGGTTGTGACATGTCATGCGACATGAAATAAGATAGATAGATTAGATAGCTGCGTGGAATGCTGCAAGTGGTCTGTGCGCACTGCACTCAAACCTCCCACCTGCAAAGAAGCCTTCGGCTTCTTCCTTCTTACACTCTTCAATCTAGTATTTTTCGTACTAATCCTCGGATAACCTGTGCCATTGCCGGGCCTTTTCCAGGACCGTCACAGTATACATCAATGAAAAGTAATACAGAAAATTTAAAATTTAAAAGGCAGGATGGAAAGGAAACAAAAAAATGCACCCGACGTCGTTGGACTTGAACCCACAACCTTAAGATAAGCTTTTTCCCTGATCCTTCTTGTTTTTGGGAGGGATCAAAGAGAATTAGAAGTCTTACGCGTTACCATTGCGCGAGCCGGGCTGGATCTTTTTGTGTCTGATGCATTGGGAGGGTTCAAGAAATATTTTGCTTATGTATGGGTTGTGACATTTACCCCAACGCAAACAAAACACAACTGAGGGGACGGAGAGTCGGAGACATGAAGACCACAGACAAAGTGGCAAGGCCCCAATCAAAAAAAAAGGTCAAGGTATATATATATATAACGTTATATATAAAAGAACAGCTAAAAAAATAAAAGGGGGGATGAAAAAAACAAAAAATGCACCCGACGTGGGACTCGAACCCACAGCCTTAAGATTAAACTTTCTACGCTTTTTCTCGTTTTGAACAAGGAAAGAGGAAATAGAAGTCTTACGCGCTACCATTGCGCTAGCCGGGCTGGGAATTTCAGATTTGAAACTATTGGAAAGGTGGAAAGAAAAACATGGTTATGTATGACTTTTGTGTGGATTCTTTTGAAGTTTGGGGCTTGAAGGGTTTTTCCCTTCTGCTGGTTCATGTGTGGGGTTTAGGATGTGGGGGATGAGTTGGTTTCAGTTGAAAAATGTTGTGGAAATGTTTTTTGACTTGTTATTGGAATCATGGAAGAAAACATTTATGTGCAAATACTTGGTTTTTATTCACGATTATATTCAAGTGAGTTGTGCTCTAAGGATCAAAAGGGTCAAGGATCTGATTGGCCGATAAAGTAAAGGGGCTATGTTCGGCTGTGTTTTGTTAGGCATTCATCAGGGTTGAAAGTCGTGAAAGTAAAGTGACTCATTTTTAAGGAGTTGCAACTTGCAAGCTTCCTTTCTTTTTTTTAACCCTCTTCACTTTCCCCTTTCTTTTGCTTCTGGAAGTCTCGGCTCCTGACTCGCATAACATAATTACAATCACATCCTTACACCAATGGCATCTCCTGTCGTCAGAGTCGGCGTTGCGGCCGTCATACAAGATAATAAAGGGAATGTAATTCTTGGAGTTAGAAAAGGATCTCATGGATCTGGTTTGTTTATTGTTTCAAAATCTCTGTCGAATGCTTGCTGATTCTGAGTAGGAACCTGGCAGTTCCCCGGCGGCCACCTCGAGGTCGGCGAAAGCTGGTTTGCTTGTGCCGAAAGGGAAACGCTAGAGGAAACTGGATTGGTAGTGAAAGCCGAGAGGTTCTTCGCTGCTACAAATGATGTTTTTGAAGAAGGAAAACATTATATTACTTTATTTATCTTGTGTAAGAGGGTTGATGAGAGTGCTGAACCTGAGGTATGTTTGACTGTCAAATTGTTGGAGTTGTTGTTGATGATGAATAATTTAGGTGCTCGAACCTCACAAGTGCGAATCCTGGTCCTGGAAGAGTTGGTCTGACGTCAGGGGGTTGACTGAGGGAGACGAACAAAAAGTTTTTTTGCCCATAGTTAACCTGTTCAAGGATCATCCCGATATTGAAAGCCGCGTTTTAGTTTAGAGAGGGTAACAAACGGTTCCGATGGAAATTCTCGATGGTTGGAATCCTTTTTTCTAGATATTTAGTTGGTAAATGGGATTTCGGGATCGGCGAGAGATGCATTGATATTGATTGTTCTGAAACAAAGATGTTCTGTTTGGTTGTCCGATCTTCCATGGAAATTCTAGATGTTGCGGATCTGTGATAAGGAAAAGCACAGGCTTCTTTCCCGAGACGATCCCGAAGGCCGAAGGAGAAAAACGTGGCTGGTTTTATATCATGGTCTAGACATGCCGAAAGCGGAGCACGAAGAAACAAAATAATTGCGTTGAAGATATCATTGCTATCTCTTCATTTTTATTTACATGGATAAAATATTTTTTTTTAAAAAAAATTCCGGACACCGCCTCTGGAGGTAGGTGGTTGTGTGTCCAATTGCTCCAGAGTCCAGAGAGGGTGAAAATTAAAATTAAAACGGTCTCGAGTTTCTTGAAACAAGAGCTTAAAACGGTCTTCCTTTGAGATTGAGAGAATAAAGTTCGAGACCCTTGACGGTCGTCACGGACCCAGTGATCTGATGTGAATGAATGGAAGGAAAGACGGGAAGGAAAAGCACAGACCATGATTCCCGTTTCTTGGCTTGAGTCGTTGTTCCACTTTTGATAGTTTAGTGAGCAAGCAAGGGCTTTGGGTCTTTGAATCCTTTTGCATCCTTCTTTCAACACCATCGTAATTCACGAAAAACAAGCCTATGATTCGGCTGCCGGTGCCGAAATCTTGTTTGTAAATGTCGCGTGGCATGTCGACACCAATAGCGTCAGAAAGAGAAGCAGCAGAAGAACCACCCGAACACGACGACAAAAGGTGACCGACGACCCCTCCACCCGCCGTTACCGTTACCGTTTCCCAGACCTCCCCTGAAAGAACCCCGCCAGAGACGCCAAAAGACAAGACACCACCCACAACCATGCCTGGAGACGGTAACATCAACTCAAAGGCTTTTGCGCCCGCAGACAGCCCAAGTACAGATGTTGGGTCCATGAACAGCGCACAAGATGCTGGATACGACGCTCAACAGATCATGGCCCTCGCCCGCCATCCTCCTCCCGGCGCATCTGTATACTCGCCCACTGCAATCACTTCCAACGCCTTGAATCCGCGCAGCTGTGTCACCTGCAGGAGAAGAAAGGTCCGATGCGACAAACACATGCCATGTTCCAATTGCCGTCGCGCCCAGATACCATGCATCTTCCCAGCGCCCGGTCGTGCGCCACGTCGCCCACGTCCCAAGGATCCGAATGCGCCACCGAAGCAACCGTCAAGTGAAAGAGAACTGGAATTGATGAAGCGTCTACGGAAACTGGAAGGAATCGTGGAAGAATTGAGCGGCCAGATCGAGCTGGAAACAACTGTGCGTCCTCCCTACAGCGCCGGCAACTCTCCCGACGGAACGACTGTGTACGGTGCCGCTGGAGGAAACTCTACCAATTCTGCTCAGGGTTTTACCTCCGCCGCTGCGTCCCCGGATCCGCCGCACTACCCGCCGCGAACAATATCAGGAAACGTCTCCGAGGCTGACAGGGCCCAGCAGAAAAGTTCGCCCGACATGCATAAGCAATTCGGAAGGTTGATGCTCACCGAAAAGGGCGGCACCCGTTACGTCAGCAGTGGTCTCTGGTCCAGCATCACAGATGAGCTGGATGAACTCAGAAAGGAGTCCGAGGAGTACCATCACGAGGAGTCCGAGGATTCAGATGACGAAGCGACCCCCGATTCGGCAGACCAACTCAAGCACGCATTCACGGACCATCAATCCTTTATTATGGGATATCGCTCATCTGATGTCGACCTGAGGCCTTTGCATCCATTGCCGTCCCAAATCCCTTTTATGTGGCAGGTCTTTCAAGAAAATGTCGATCCGATTCTCAAGGTTCTGCACGTCCCGACCATGGACAAGCTCATCAGGGAGCTGCGCAACAACCTCGACATACTTACTCCCTCCACAGAGGCACTCATGTTTTCGATTTACTATGCCTCGATAACTTCGCTGGATGACGAACAAGTAAAATTGAGTCTCGGTGCCGACAAAGATACCTTACTTCAACAATACCGGTTTGCCCTTGAACAAGCTCTGGGAAAGGCAAATTTTCTCACAGCTCCGGATCTTGAAGTCGCTCAAGCTTTCTTGTTATTCTTGGTTCTTGTTCGTCGCCACGACGACACAAGATTTGCCTGGACTTTGACCGGACTCCTCATCCGCATCTGCCAGGCTCTCGGACTCCATCGTGACGGGACCCACTTTTCCAATCTCACCCCTTTTCAAGTCGAGATGCGACGTCGACTTTTCTGGGCCGTCTGCGTTCTGGATTTGCGATCGGCCGAGGACCAGGGAACCGACTTGACCGTTGTTGAAGAAACGTTTGATACCCAGTTTCCCCTCAACATCAACGACGCCGATATCTCCCCCGACACCAAGGTCATGCCGGAAGCTCGAGAGGGCACAACAGACATGACATTTTCCATTATTCGATATGAGATGTGTACACTTGCTCGGCGTCTTCACACCATGTCGTCGGCGATGGCAGTCATGTGTCCGCAAGATTCGGGGAAAATCTCTCTCGAGGAGAGGGAGCAGATGTTGGTGGACGTCTTGCAGCGCGTAGATGACAAATACCTCAAGAACAACACGGATCCCATGTACTGGGCTGCCGCCAACATTGCTCGCGTTATTGTTGCCAAGATGACGCTCGTAATCTACCAACCAGTTCTGTTTCCCGGTACTGGCAGTGAGTCTCTCTCGGACGCAATACGAGAGCGCCTTTTCAACTCATCTCTTGAGGTGTTTGAGTATACCCACATTCTTAATACTGATCCTCGATGCAAGCAGTGGCGCTGGTTGTTCCAAACATACAGCCAGTGGCATGCAGTGGCATACACATTGATTGAGGTGTCGCATCGGCCGTGGGGTCCAAAAGCTGAGCGCGCTTGGGGAGCTCTGAACTTGAGATTTGCAGCTCCTAATTCTGCTGAGCTCGAGAAGCTTGCAGGTCATCACGCAGTTTGGGTACCCCTGAAGAAGTTATACTACAAGGCAAGAAGACATCGGGAGGCAGAAATTATTAGGCTGCGAGAAAATCCTCAAGAGGCACAAGAACTGGAACTTCAGGATCGATGTGGAATGGCACCAACTCATATTAGGGCAATCCCAGGGTCACTCAAGGGTGTTGTTGCGCTTGAACGTTGGCGGAAGCTGGTTAATGCACCTCCGATTCTAGAATCAGTCCAACAAGCACAACAGTCACTACCACAGTCGCAACCGCAACAGCAGCAGCGACAACAACAACCTCAACCTCAACAACCACAACAACATCAAATCCAACAGCAGCAGCAGCAGCAACAGCTTGGCCAACCGTTTTCGCTCTCTTCTGATCCAAATACTCAAATGGGAAATATGTCACAACCAACGCAATCCCAACATCCGCTGCCAAGCAGCAACCCCATGGACTTTTTAGACTCGGCCATGTCAAATCCTACATTTATACCCAGCGACTTTGCGCATCTTTTCAGCGGGGAAGCTGTCGAATTGGCGCGCAACAGTATATTTGGCTACCAACCTAGTGACATTTCACGCATGAGCACTCCCATGGATTTTAATACCCCTACATCAAGCTACGGAATACAGAGGGCAAGCACGATTCCTATTGGTAATAGTAATGCAAGTCCTTTCTCGCAACAACTTCCACATCAACAGCAGCAGCAACAACAACAGCAGCAACAACAACAGCAGCAGCCGGGGATGAGTGGTGGGGGGATACAATCTCCTGTTGGAAAGGATGATCAGGGTCTTCCGCCTTGGTTGTGGCCTGCGGGTACTGGATCACCTGATATTTTGCGTATGCCAAATTTGGCTGTTGAGGATACGGATATGAATGTGGATGAAGGGTTTGATTGGCAGA